GTTAATTTTCATAGTTGATACATTTGATTTCACATTTTCACCTTATTTTGAGCTTTTGGCTCAGCACTTCCTTGCTGCCTATTCAGTTTCATTCTTTTAATATATAGACTCTGTTTTAAATACTTTTATCTTCTCCATTGACTTTGAAGGTTTATATCCAATTTCTCTGAATTATTTTTGCCACATTACTGCAAAATGATCCTTTGACATTTCTTGCAGTTTTGAAACTCTTTTCCATCAACTATTTACACTTAACTCTAGATTTAGCGGCTCTTAATGCAACTTGCTTTTCAAACTATGAATCCTCATTTTGGGGTTCTTATCTTGGCTTTACTCTCTGAGAGCTGGAGCACATCCACAGTAACCCTTGGTACGAAGGGCAGGTGGGCATTATGCTCGCTGGGTCTGTGAGTCTTCTTTCTCTTCTCCTTCTCCTCCTTCTCTTTCTTCTCCTCCTACCTTCTTTTTTTAAACCAATTTTCATTCCGTTTATTACATCATGTCTTGCTACTCATACGACAGGGATGAAATGTGCATAAGGTGATTCTCCTCCAATTCTCATTGCTGTCTGGAATTTACTCTTACGAAAAGTGTCTTAGCCCCAGTTATTTTTATTTCTTGATGTGTACCACTTTTTTCCCTGTCCAGATGTTTTTCCTTGTAATGAGCATTTTCTACCTGCAAAATAAGGGATATTTTTCATGTCTGAAAATTTCTTTCAATTCCTTCTGCCATTACCATTTCTATTCCTGTTGTTTTGATGATTCCTCTTGGGAGCCCCTATAACTTTTAGCTCCTGCTTGTGTCCTATGTTCTCCATTTTATAGTCCTTCCTCACCTTCTTTTTTATTCTTGTCTTTTCTGAGGGAGATGAGCTACATTTACAATTCCAGGTTGTGCAGTTGATTGTCCTCTGTGCCTCTGGGGGGACATTAATCCTGCTCTGACATTTTTAGTTTCCCTTTTCTCAGTCAGCACTGGCTTATTTTCATGTGAGTCTGGTCTCCTATTGTAACTTTCTGCTTCTGTTTCATAGAGGCTGTATCTTCCTGAATGCTGAGGATGTCAAACACGTTTCTACAAGTTTCTTCTGGATCCTATGCAAAACGTTGTTGAGGTACAGTTTTCCTCTGACTATTCATGATATTTTCTCCCCTGTGTGTAGCAACTTGTCTTGAATGGCCCTGTGTGGCTGGGTTATTGTTATTGTTCTTGCTTTTATGGAGGAGAGAGAGCGCTAAACCCAGACTCTGCAGGTTGCTCTTGGCACCTCCTATCCTCCTGGCTGCTATGGGAATCCCCTTCTGCTTTCGATAGGCAAAGCTTCCAGTGACTTCTTCCTGGGATTGCTCTGCTGGATTTTGATGGATTTGTGTTCTCCTCACTGGATGGAGTGGACAGAAGTCTAAAATCCACAGTTTGGATTGCTCACACGGTCCCTCTCATCTCATCCTCACCTACAACGTTTTGCTGTTGCTCTCAGCAATCAATACTCCATTGCCAATGCTGACTACTTTATACTGGGATTTTTTTTGTAGTTTCTGACCCAGAATAACTCAAGAAGGTGTAAATAAGAAAGTGGGAGAGGAAGAGGAGGACCTGTAGTGATGCCATAAAGCAACAGGAATGGAACAATGTGTTAAATGTGCACTGTTCCCGTTATTACTCGATGACCCCACTTGGGGTCTTGAGCCAAGGAGAGAAACAGAAAGTAAAGGGTCTTCTTATCTCTTTTTATGTTAGAAATCGTAGAACCACTGAATGTGTCCATTTCTCATTCCAGTATTATCAACCTTCCATTTAGTTGAAATAAACTCCAGATTCCAGAAATAGATAGGCAGGTAATCCCATTCACAGCTCCACAGGGAGTTTATATATTTTGCTTTGCCTTCAGAGATATTAATTATCGATGAATTAGAATTCAAGAAAAGATGTTAAAGAACTGCTAGCTGGTGATGGTGAGGTTAACTTTTGCCCCTGGAATGAGCCAAAATTTTACTAATAGTACCTTTTGAAAATAAGGTACACACAGCTGTTATATGTTATGCCAATTATGTGTATCAGTCCGCTTCTGGATCAACTAGCTCCCTTCCAGAATTCCACCTGAAAAATGTAGTTTATGTATGTAATACTTTTCACACTGTGCTGGAAACATGCATTATCTTGCATAGTTAATCACTATTCTTTGCTGAGTAAAGTTTGGCTTTCAGTGATGTAGACAGAGTGAGAAGAAGCAAGCTGAGTTAGAAGATTCAGGATCAGTATATAATAGCAGAAGCCCAGGAAGGCAAACTAGGATATCTACCAAGAGAAACTTTCATTGCTTCTGGAACTGTAAATGATCAAATTCATACATAGTTCCTATTCCCTGACAGATCATGTTTACTGAGTTCTTAATGTTTTCACTCATCAGCAAATGACCTCTAGGATGTGTCCTTAGAACACATCACTTCTCTCTTAACTCATTTAAGTATCTTCAAAATACTTAAATCAAATAAAATTGAAAATCAATCCACCTTGGCCTACAATACTCTAATTTGGACTGTTTTAATTGTAAGTGGTATAATCAAAATATTTCTTAGAAGTTCTCTTTCTGCCCTTCAGTGTTTTCAGTGGGGCTATGAGGGAGAGACTCCTGAGAAGGCAGGGATCCCAAAATGAACAGTTTATTGTAAAGAAAAGAACAGACTTCCGGTATTGCTGCTGTTCGGATGGGTGCAGGACAAAAGGATAATGTGCTCTCCAGATAGTTCCCCGGGGAGAATGTTCTGGGCTTTTTTGATTATCGATAAAACTTGTGCATCATCTTTAGAAAATGTAGCATTTTTACTAGAATTTAACATATTCAAAAATTATGACTTGTTAGAAAGAATAAATCACATTTGGAAAAGGTTTTAATATAACTCAGTATTATATATCCTTCCTGAAGGCCTTTAAAGATTAGCCCTTCACTCAGCTGATGCATGAGGGGAAAGGAAAATTGGTTTTTAATAAAGTCGCTTTTGAAGAGTCGTTTTTCTTTCCACATTGCTTTTCATAGCAGGTATCACTGTCCTCTTGTTTGGTTTCACTTTCTATGTCTTGGTGGAAATTGGAAGCGGTCAGTTACATATCTCTTACAGAAATCTCAAAGACATGAGAGCAAATTTTAAAGTTGACTCAATTTACATAGTGACGGAAGAACTGCCAAAATTCTAGAACTCTAATGACACTTAATTCGAATCAATAAACTAGGGACCACAGATCAGATTAAGTAATCCAGACTGTGGGAAATGACCCAATGTTGAACTATTTTGTTCTTGTTTTGGCCAAACCATATGGCAAAACTACCTCTGAGACAGTGAGGATGGGGTTCCCCTGTATCCTAGGAGACTAGGCAGGTATACCGTCAATCATCCTGGGCAGCGGTCCATCCTGGAGTTGGGAGTGAGTGGAACTTGGGGTGGGGAAGCAGGGACCTGCTCATTCCTCTGAAGCCATGGGGTGTTTGGGCCCCGAGCCAGTGGGTAAAATGCCTGGGGCAGCTCTGGCTGGGAAAGGGTGGGATTTCCTCTGCCCATGACCTGCTCAGAGGCACCAACCTCTGCTTTTCAATCAGCAGCAGTGACAAAAGCTGAAGCAGCAGCAACAGTGCAGGTCAGCAACTCTGGTGCAGGCAGAGTCTGGGGGCTTAAGGGGATAGCAGAGGGGGCCAGTCCTGGCCATTTGGACTTGAGAAGAGGCTGGAATCTCGTCACTGTAGGGTGGCTCTATTTCAAGGGCCGTCAGCAGGATGGCAGCTAGGTGAGGAGACTGGACTGGAAGTGGCTAAGGGTCTTGTCTGGGGGCCATGAGATGCCATTGCACTGGACAATGAACATCTCAGAAAACACTTTTATTTTTTTCTTAAAACTTTTTAATATGGGAATTTTCAAATACATATACAAAAGTAAAGAGAATGATGAACCCACATACCCATCACCCAACTTTAACAGTTATCAACATTTTGCCATACATCTTCATCTGTCCTTCACCTCAATTCTTTCTCTCTCCTGGATTTACTTATTTATTTATTTTTGTTAGTTTCTTCTTTATAACAAACTGAATCAGCTATACATATACATATACCCCCGTATCTCCTCCCTCTTGTGTCTCCCTCCCACCCTCCCTATCCCACCCCTCTAGGTGGTCACAAAGCACCGAACTGATCTCCCTGTGCTATGCGGCTGCTTCCCACTAGCTCTCTATTTTACATTTAGTAGTGTATATATGTCCATGCCACTCTCTCACTTACTGCCAGCTTACCCTTCCCCAACCCCATGTCCTCAAGTCCATTCTCTACATCTGTGTCTTTATTCCTGTCCTGCCCCTAGGTTCTTCAGAACCATTTTTGTTTGTTTGTTAGATTCCATATATATGTGTTAGCGTACAGTATTTGTTTTTCTCAGAAACACTTTTAAAGGGGTGCTCTCAGCCAACTAGTCTGTAGGGACTCAGGCCAGAATAAATTGACCACAAAAAGGAAGCACAATCTCATTTTATAGACAAACAGATAAAGCCAGTGACAGGATTACTCAAGGGACCTCCCCAGATAATCCACTGTGACAAAAAGTTCAAGTATTTAATAACATTGATCTTTTCTCTATTCCAGATTTTTTTTCTTAAAATTATGAATTCTGCTGCATAAAAGATACTAAATATAATTGTGTTTGTATTGTATATTATACACTTTACTTATGAATGTACAAATTAATGTTAATGCTTATGTCTTTACTATGAAACATTTTAAGTTAGTGTAAACCCCATGCAATTTAGTTTATTTATGTCGCTAAGCTGCACCGCAGTATCAATGATGGGATATATTAGGAGATTTGGGATGTTTGGCCCCATAAGTCAATTTATAAAAATTATTGCAAAACCTGGGGATAGCCTCAGTCTGTTGTGTTTTATTGCTTAATTAGCAAGTTGTCAAAAAGTGGCACCATATAAAGTGAGTGATGCTTTTTTACCTGTTCACTTACTTTTTATCGGGATAATGAGCTGTGGAATGACAGGAAGAATCTTGTTCCCCCCGTGTTCCAGCATGTCGTGGATTCCTTGCCGAGCAAAAAATTCATAGGGAAATGTCATTTCACAGAGCCCATCAAAAAACAGAGGCAGATAATGATGGTAATCCAGCTTCTCAATTTCCACCTGAAAGAAGAGAGAAAAAAATGCTATGTGAAAACAAAAATGAGGCAAAGCATGGCTGGGCCAACTGTGAAGCTGTCATTAACTTAGGAGAAGCAAGTTCTTCAGAACTTCAGGAAGATTTTATTAGCCAACTCACGTAACAACCTGAAGTATGTTGTCACGTCTTTAATCTAGTAGTAATGAGGTTAAAATCATTGACCTTTAAATAGTAACAGATTAAAATCATTAATAATCTACATTGGGAGCATTTTAGTACTTTTCGGGGGGGGTTCTTAGGTTAATTTTTTACCATTTGGCACAAAGGCAATACTGAAAAGGGATTCAAAAAGTCCATGGTATGTATGCTGAAAAAATATATATATATAAAAGAATAAAATGGGAAAGAAACAGTTGAAAGGAGATTAACATCTGAATTTCTAACAAAACTCTAATAGGTATTGCACATTAATATATTCTTGTGAGATATGTCTCTTCAGGACCTGGCAAATATGAGAGTAAGGGGTAAAATACGATTCCATGGAAGACACACACTGAGCTGAACCTAAACAGACCACGGACCCCTCAGAATTAAAATATCCCAAACTCTCCTCTGCTTCTTCTGGGGCCAGAGATATACCACTTTTCCACTTCTATATACTTCACTCTCAATAATGCTTGCATGACCTGTTGTCCAGATCTTTGCAATAGTATCAAGCACCGTAAGGAATAGGAACAAAATTTCCAGAACAGAGAAAAGAGATGGCACTTTGGCAGCTGTTCACATGTAGATCTGCTCTAGCCTGGGTCCTCTACTATCTAGAGTATCCATGACCTGACTTTCTACCCGCAAGGTGACAGGAATGATGGTGATATCATGGATGGAAAGAGGCCAACAGACAGACTGTGGATATAACACACCTACAGAGCAAAGGATGCAGTGTTCCCAGTAAGAGGTGCAAATTTCCCTGATTTTCATGTCCTTATGAAGGTACCCAGCTTCCAATTATCACCATATATATATATATATATATATATATATATATATATATATATATATAAAATTAAGTGAGGAGCCCACCAAGACCTCAGGGAAACCTTTTTACATTAGGAGGTTTTCATACCCTCCAGTTGTCTCCCAGCATTCTGGAGTTTCTAGCCATGTGCCTGCCTGGGCCTGGGTGTGAGTAACTGATAACAACCCAACCACATTTCTGAGTGCTTACTATAAGTCTGGGTGAATCAAATGTCCTACAATTCTCCAAGCAGGAGGTCTGTCTCCAGACTGCTCATGAACTACCCAGCCAACTAAGGAAGTAAGCACTCAGATTCTAATATTCATGCCCTTTGGGAAGTGGAGCTTGGAAAATGAATCCTAAATGGAGGTATGTACAGATATGCTTTACTTTACATTCCTTCAATAGTTGTAAAAGTTGCTTTATTCATAGTAAAAGTTTATGAAGTATATATTTAATACCAACCTTCTCAAGGATTGTTGTGTATTTGAGAACACTTTAGAACATTATTTTGCACAATTAAAAACTATTGTTACATCATTCAGCTCCAAAAGTATTATACAATGTTGTTACCTATAATTTTACCTTGTAACTTAACTTCATAATAAAAGTGTCATCTGTACTATATTTTGACTTGTACTTTTGATATTTTGCTAAATTTTTAAGCCCATTGTCACAGTTTTACATATGTCTCTTATAAAGTAGAAAATCATTAAATTTTCTACTTTAATATGATCTAAGACTTTGTATTTTAATATATTAAGCATTCACATTTATGGCTATGTCTAGTTAACTTCTGTCATCTTATTTTTTGGTCTCTGAATTTCATTTTTCATTTACTTTTTCCTTTCAACTGTGTATTTTTGTTATGTGGATTGTTTTCTTTACATTTTTGTGTCTGATGATTTGAAAGATAAAGCCTGTTTTACTATTTTATTGGAGCTATCTCACAGTATTCTCAAATATTTTAAAACATATGTATCTTAGAGAAGTAAGTTAAAAATCTCCTACTACGATTACTGACATGCCAATTTTTCTTTGGAATTTTGTTGGATTTTTTTTTTAGTGTGATTTGGGGCAACAATTCCAACATCAACAACAGCAACAAAAAAAAGCCAAGTTTATGATACCAGACACTATTGTAAATACTTATGTGTATTAGTTCACTTAATCCTCATAACAGTTCTAAGAGGTAGGTATTACTGGCAACCCAATTTTCAGTATAAGGAAACTGAGGCACAGAGAGGTTTAATAACTTGCCTAAGGTTTGCAGCTAGTTAGTGCTAGAGCTGGGATCCAAACCCAAGCAGTCTGGCTGCAGGACATGATACTACTTATCAGGCTATGTTGTGAGGCATGTCAAGGTTCAGCATTATTGTAATCTCCTTGTGAACTGGTCCCTTTATCCTCCTGTCTTTATCCTCTTTATCATTATTAATGCAGTCTGTCTTAGTCTAATCTAATTCTAATATTGCTATCACTGTTTTGTCTACTTTATCTTTCTCCATACTTTACTTTCTTCCTTCCTTTGACATTATGTTTAAGCATATCTTTTTTAGGTGGAGCGCCAGAAGCAAAGCTGTGAGAATGTTGGAGGGAGTGGGCCATGTCTGGTTGTCACACTCTGGAGGGAGACTATTGCTTACTGCAGTGCTGCGCGCAGGACAAGGAACATCCAAGATACCTGATCCCAGAGATTTGCAAACAGTTTTACCATTTGGGCTGGGTCACTGGGACTGGAGGACGAATTAGCTTGAAGCATGGCCGTGTGGCTGACAGGGTGTTGGTGCTCCAGCCGGGTCTCAGGCCTGAGCCTCTGAGGTGGGAGAGCCAAGTTCAGGATATTGGGACCTCCAGGCCCCATGTAATATCAATCGGTGAGAGCTCTCCAGAGATCTCTGTCTCAATGCCAACACCCAGCTCCACCCAAAGGGCAGCAGGCTCCAGTGCTGGATGTCCCATGACAAACAACTAGCAAGACAGGAACACAACCTGATCCATTAGCAGTGAGGCTGCCTAAAATCATACTAACTTCACAGACACCCCAAAACACCAACGGACGCAGCCCTGACCACCAGAAAGACAAGATCCAGCCCCACCCACCAGAAAACAGGCACCAGTCCCCTCCACTAGGAAGCCTACACAAGCCACTAAACCAACCTTACCCAAGGGAGGCAGACATCAAAAACAACGGGAACTACAAACCTGCAGCCTGCGAAAAGGAGACTCCAAACACAGTAAATTAAGTAAAATGGGAAGACAGAGAAATAAGCAGCAGATGAAGGAGCAATGTAAAAACCCACCAGACCAAACAAATGAAGAGGAAATAGGCAGTCTACCTGAAAAAGAATTCAGAGTAATGATAGTAAAGATGATCCAAAATCTTGGAAATAGAATGGAGAAAATACAAGAAATGTTTAACAAGGACGTAGTAGAACTAAAGAGCAAACAAACAATGATGAACAACACAATAAATGAAATTAAAAATTCTCTAGAAGGAATCAATAGCAGAATAACTGATGGAGAAGAACAGATAAGTGATCTGGAAGATAAAATAGTGGAAATGACCACTGCAGAGCAGAATAATGAAAAGAATTGAGGACAGTCTCAGAGACCTCTGGGACAACATTAAACACACAAACATTCGAATTATAGGGGTCCCAGAAGAGGAGAGAAGAAAAAAGGGTCTGAGAAAATATTTGAAGAGATTATAGTTGAAAACTTCCCTAACATAGGAAAGGAAATAGTTAATCACGTCCAGGAAGCACAAAGAGTCCCATACAGGATAAAACCAAGGAGAAACATGCCAAGACACATATTAATCAAACTATAAGAAATTAAATACAAAGAAAAAATATTAAAAGCAGTAAGGGAAAAGCAACAAATAACATATAAGGAAATCTCCATAAGGTTAATAGCTGATCATTCAGCAGAAACTCTGCAAGTTAGAAGGAAGTGGCAGGACATATTTAAAGTGATGAAAGGGAAAAACCTACAACCAAGATTCTCTACCCAGCAAAGATCTGATTCAGATTCGACAGAGAAATTAAAACCTTTATAGATGAGCAAAAGCTAAGAGAATTCAGCAGCACCAAACCAGCTTTACAACAAATGCTAATGGAACTTCTCTAAGTAGGAAACACAAGAGAAGGAAAAGACCTACAATAACAAACCCAAAACAATTAAGAAAATGGTAATAAGAACATACATATCGATAACTACCTTAAATGTAAATGGATTAAATGCTCCAACCAAACGACATAGACTGGCTGAATGGACCCATATATATATGCTGTCTACAAGAGACCCAGTTCAGACCTAGGGACACATACAGACTGAAAGTAAGGGGATGGAAAAAGATATTCCATGCAAATGGAAATCAAAAGAAAGCTGGAGTAGCAATTCTCATATCAGACAAAATAGACTTTAAAATAAGGACTATTAGAAGAGACAAAGAAGGACACTACATAATGATCAAGGGACTGATCCAAGAAGAAGATATAACAATTGTAAATATTTATGCAACCAACATAGGAACACCTCAATACATAAGGCAAATGCTAACAGCCATAAAAGAGGAAATCGACAGTAACACACTCATAGTAGGGGACTTTTCACCAATGGACAGATCATCCAAAATGAAAATAAATAAGGAAACACAAGCTTTAAATGACACATTAGACCAGATGGACCTAATAGCTATTTATAGTATATTCCATCCAAAAACCACAGAATACACTTTCTTCTCTAGTGCTCATGCAACATTCTCTAGGATAGATCATATCTTGGGTCACAAATCAAGTAAATTTAAGAAAATTGAAATCGTATCAAGTATCTCTTCAGACCACAATGCTATGAGCCTAGATATCAATTACAAGAAAAAAACTAAAAATTCCAACACATGGAGGCTAAACAATACACTACTAAATAACCAAGATCACTGAAGAAATCAAAGAGGAAATCAAAAAATACCTAGAAACAAATGAAAATGAAAACTCAACGACACAA